GCTACTAGGAGCAAAGGGCATCGCTACTAGGAGCAAGAACGCTACTAGGGGCTCCTGGATGTTTCACCGAAGTTCGTGAGGCCGTGAGCAGGGCTAAGTCGTTTCGCCAGGATTCCTCCGAATGGTTCTCCGGCAACGCCTTCGTTTATGCTGTGTGTGGCTTTGAGCAGCTCGCCTGGGTGAGGTAGATTTCCTCAGAAGACCCCTAGCAGTTCCATCTCATCATTGTACAGCTGCCATGTACATGTTGGGCCAAAAACAACCACGGCAAGACTCAAGACATTCTACGATGAGTTCTGCTGTTCTGCTTCTTTGGTGAGTTCGGCACTCACCAAATCTGGATGTACATCACAGCAGGGTCCGACGTCCGGAGGCACTCCGATGTCCGACGGGCCCCGAGGCGCTCGGCACGGAGGGTTGAGCTGAGCACCGCAGAGGCGACGGGAATGGTTCGGAGCGGAGCTGCGAGGGTTCAAGAGAATCATATAGAGTTTAGGGTGGTCAGCGGCATGGTCATGGTGGTGTTGATTTGTCTCAAAACAGCTTAAATGTTGTTCTTTGGGTGGTTTGGAATGCATTATTTCTGTCAATTTTTAGGTTCTTGGCAAAGGACTAGAATCTTGGGGGGATAGACTCAGATCTTTGGATGATGCATGATGATGCTAATTTTGGAATACATGGACATCTTCTCGTTGTTTGTGATTGGGGCGGGGAAGTGGGGAAGTGTGGAGTGCGTGTGCGTGAGGGCGGTGTAGTGTTGTTTAAGCAAGCTATGAAGCGAGCTATGTAGAGACTCGTTGGGACACCGCGCGTGAGGTGGCTGTCCGCAAGCAACTGCGTCCAGCGTTTGGTGAAGACCTCTAGGAGTTGTTTTGTGTGAAGAGCCCAATTGGCCCTTGTGGGTATATAATGTAGGCTCTTGAACAAAAAATATCATCCCATACTATCTGAAGAGGTTTACCATCCATGTCTGGGGGTTAATCCAAAGGGGCTGTGATGGAACCTGCCCCTTTGGAGTCGCTGCCTGAGATCCGAACGGCTGGGCCACGCAGGTCCTGCAGATTGCCCAGAGCGATCACGCCATCGTCCATGAGGTGTGGAAATCGATCCTCCCTCCAAAAAAAGATTGACTATTTAGTTAGTTGTAGCAGTAGTGGACTTTGCGGACTTGCCATGAATGAAATTCCGACCATGACAAGTGTGGAGGTTTGGCCACTGTGTCATGATGACGATGATGATTATTACTTTTTGGTCTACAAGGCACAACCATATATATGGTCAGCATTTAGCAGATTTGTTTTGGGAGGGCACCGGGTGATGGTTTTAACATTCTTTGCAAAGTTTGCTCGCGCATACTAGTAGCATCACAATTGATTAGTACGGTACAATGATTAGCCAAGACAGTTTTGCACAAGAGTTTGTTTGGTCACGGTGCCTCTTTGGTGGTGTTGATGCAACATGGGTCGTGGACTCAAGCAAAGAAGTGATACGTGGTACATTGCCACAACTACTTTGCAGGGAGCAAAGTGGGTACACCAATCAAGAAACTTGTAGAGCAAACCCTCTAGAGTCTAGAGCGGAGCCTTTTCCCAGTGACGGCATAGGCTCACGACCGGCGGGATGATGGAAGTGGTGGAGCTTCCCCAAACCAGTGACACAGGTTGCTCGCTCTGACACAGGGAGGTTTTTCAAGGCACGGAAAAGTGCAGTGCAACATATTGAAAACCGTAGATCTTTCTTTGTTTGAAGCGGCTGGCTTCGCAAAGGGCACACAGAGCGAGCAAATTTGTCAGTGGCATCAGATGTACTTGAGAAAATGTATCCTTTTCAACACTCTTCCCTCATGTGCTTTTGTGCTACTTCCGTCATGAGGCCCCCTTGCCGGTGCGCCTTTTGGAGAGTGAGAGAAGTAGCTCAGGCAGCACAGGCCAGGAGCGACTTCCGCGCGATGGAGGAAAGCATGGAATAATTTCATGTTGGGTGATGGGAAGACCTTTGAACCATCTTGACCTCTTCTGATGAGAGCCAACCTTTTTTGGACAACAAGTGAGGGTGGTCCGAGCTTTTGTCGTGAGCAATCGTGAGCTGCTTGAATTCATCAAGAAATGAGCGCGGGTCTATATATAATCACGAAAGATAGCGTTCTCCGTGATTAGCGGGAATGTATTCTCAAGACAGTTTTCCGCTGGGTCAGTGAAATATGATAATATGATATGATTGATTATACAATATATTTGAAGGCTATTGTGCTGTCATCCGCAGGGGCATGATGTTTTGACCATGTTCTTACCCATATACAGCAATGAAAAAGGTTTGCTTGGCTCCAAAGTAGACGCCCTCAAGAAAACAAGTGCGTGTGCAGTGCAGATGTTGCTAATGTCCAGACATTTTGTGACTCGGACTCGTAGGTTGAAATGAATTGGGTTTTTCAGCACTGCCCAGATTGCCAGCAATGGGGTTGATCAGTCAGCCTGAAGCAGCTCTAGCAAAAACGAGTCGGCCTGGAAGAAGCCGCACCGAGCCCAGGGGTGCCGCCGGTCTCGACCGTGGGGTGCTGGAACTCGGAACCTGAGCGACGGAGTCTTCAAAGCAACCCGCGGGAGACAGTCCATTTGTCGCCCTTTCACACACATCATGAGAACGGTGGGATGCTTGGGGGAAGAGAGATATATACCCAGGAACATCCCAGAACAGTATATAATATGCAGCAGCCTCAGAGCAAAAGTCGCTAGTCGTTGCAGAAGGAACGAACACATTTAGGCAAGCAGGAGCAAAAGCACTAGCAAAAGCCAATGATGCGTGTCCGCATCAGAACAGAGCCCCTCACAGGGCCCATCGTTTCCGCATGTTGTGAAGTTTGTTCAGCATCAAACCGTTATTGATATATAGACGATACACAAGTTCATTTGATAGACTATTTGATAGACTATGATCGCCGTTTAGTAAGTCTTCCCATTATTGGTAGACAATATGCTGATCATAAGGTCTCAATCCCTTCATGCACGGAGTGCTACCCCTCACGACGTCCGACGTCCGGCCACCAAGGGAGATGAAGCCCATGGACGGCGGATGGCGTTTCGAGGCACGCCTCGATCCCGTCGACAGGATCGAATGCACCAACCGAGATGGACTGGTTCCCACCATGGACTGGTTCCCAGCATTAAAGGCACTTATTGTTTTCTTCTTAGCCCGTGGCCTACCCCCCGGCTACTTAGATAATTAGGACATACGCTCCTAGGTAGGAGGCAGGATAGTTCACGCTATTCATTTAGTTTCCTAGATTTTTTTAGGAATAGCAAGAACATGCAAAAATAGAACGAGGCTCCTATTCTGGTTCACCAGGTGCCATTGGCGGATGCCTCATGCATGCAAGCCGCGGCTTCTCGGCGAGAATCGCCATCGGTTTAGCTTGACTCAGGCTGTCAAGCTAGCTGTAAAGCTAATGGCGGATTTCCTGAGGATTGTTCGTGTTTGTTGTTGTTTTTCTTTGCCTAGAGGCTTTGTGTCTCGACATATCTCGACATCTAGACAATGCATAAACATGCCAACGTTTGTTTGGTTGTTCACAATTTGTTTGTCCATGTTGCTTGGCTCAAAATCACCGCAAATTGCCGCTGACCTTTGGTTGCTCACAGAGGAACCACCGCTTGGCGTACAATTCAAAGGCCCCAAAAACAGTCAGCACACTTGGGGGGCCCAACATCTCATGCGAAACATGCTGTTTCCTTGGTGATCTACAGCAAGTACTAGTAAGCTGGTTTGGAAAGCAGCCAACCACAAGAGATGCAATCATCAGTCTGTCGGTTTTGGGGACTTCCAGAGGTTGACCCGTTTCTCTTAGAGTCTCACCGCTTTTTTCTTCGCAGATGAGTCTCCCCGAGCACCACAAGAACGGCCCAGGCAAACTGTTGATATGGGGTAAGACCTTGCTATGTGCAGAGCCTTGGGGCATCCAGGTTTCCAAAATGGTTACCCATAAACTCGTCAATAGGCCTCAGCTTCCCTTTTGTTTGAACAAACACCGGAAGTGAATCGAGTAACTTGTGTGGATCAACGTTGCCTTTCTTCTCTTCAAAAGACCAATTGCGTCACATCTAATGGTGCCAGGACTCTGGCTGGAGCAGATTGGCTTTGCATTGGATACCCATGGATACTGTAGTCCTTGGATGGTCCGCGTGTGTGCTCAACAAACAGCACATCATGGCTACATCCCCGGGGACTCCGACTCCTTTCGACGCCTTCAACGCCACAGCCCGACAACGCCAACGCCTGCGAGCTGAGGATGTGCAAATCTCCGACACGCAGCTGTCACTGGTCTTGGAAGGCCTGGGGTCTTGTCGGTGAGCTCTTGAAGGGACGAAATGGACGACTTACTCACATTTCAGGAGCGATCCGATCCTATATATATATAAATAGAAAGCACACGCGCACACTTACACTAAACAAATTATTCAAACCGAGCCAAACAAACAACCTGCACATCAGCCGGGATTATAGTCAATTGTACGCAAATGTATGTTTGTGTGAGGGTCTTACTCAAGACCCATGTCCATGTCGATGCACGTTTCAGCAACAAACACGTTCCAAATTCCAATCCATTTTGCATAGATGTTCCATGATGTTCCACAAGTAAGTAGTAGTGTTGACTTAGTTGACTCTTGATTAGCTAAAATCCTTCTACTTCAACTTTAGATGGCCACAACACGATAAACACCTTATTTAACCAGCCCGGCCTGGCTTGCCGTGTGTGCTTCTTGAACAGCTCCAGACCTCAAGGGGCTCGGAGCTGCTCCAGACCTCCAGGCCTACGCCGCGTGGTGCCTTGGCCGACACCGGTGGACTCGGCCTCCGCGCGAGCGAGCTTCTCTGCGAGGAGCCGATCTGGCCGGGTGGAACAGGGGGGGCGGGTGGAACCTGGGTGTTCATCCAGGCTCAGAAGCATACATTATATATCATTATACTGCATACTGCATACACATATAAAATCATTTACATAGATATACCAAATATAATTGGGATCTGGATATCTATATTCAATACACTTTAAGATTGAGGATATAACTATACGAGTAACTATATATTGTATATGATTCATATGATCTCAAAAGATTTGATATACATATATACGATCAATAGATTGCATTGGCTCCTCACACGCCTAGGAAATTTGTGCCCGTGGCTTTGACGGTACCTGCGCAAGGGACAGGCAAGTGCGCACACTCTCCCAGGAGAATCCCTCCACTTCAAAAGAAGAACATAAGATTCCACAGGCTCACCCGAAAGCCTGTTTCAGCCTCTCCTCGCGGTCAGGAGCTGCAAGCTGGTGGTCAAAGCGACGTCCCAATAAGGAGAAAAAGAAAGGCTTTGTGGCCCTTGCTGCGCTGGCGGCGAAGAACGGTGTTGGCGGAGACCCACATCTCGATCAATGATTGCTGTATCGCTGGGGTTCGGGACAACCCAGCACGGTGAAGAATTCTTCAAGGTTTAGCTGGAAAAGATCAATTCCGCTCAACAACCAGATGAACTCTAGCAGGAACAGTCTCGAACCGTGACTTCTCACTTCCTAGAAGCCCTCAAAGACCCTTGAGGAAATCCCAGCCGGAGGGGCAGGCGGGGTTCATAGCTGTCATAGCTACCAGATGACAGATGGACAAAGATTATATAACGATCATCATATATCATATATGCGTAAGAATCACCATGTTGTTTTAATTGTGCTCATACCATGCTTAGCAGCAGCTTTTACTGCAGGATCACCTCAGAAGGTTCCGTCTCACAATATCCTGATGTAACGAAGAATTCAACCTCGAAGAGGTTGACTGATGTGCGAGCCGAGGATGAGGGACTTGGACCATTGATTTCTGTGATTATTTGCCTTTCCGGGTTCAAGAATGGAGCCAGTCGCTGGGGACACCCTATGTGGCGAGCCTTCACGATGCCTCTTAAGCATGCACTTCAGACAGTGATCGCTCCACTTCCGGCCATACCAAGAGGCCAAGAGGCACGTGGAAGTGGGTGTTTTGTTAGCTTGGCTTTGAGAAGGGCCCACCTTTGAACGCAGTCTTGTTGAGTCTGAAGTTGAACTAGGGAGTTGCCATACTTCTGTTGCAGAATGAACCGTTGGGCCATGTTGGACTATATATAAACTATCTTAAGCTGAGTATTTGGTGAAGGGACAGGCGAATCCAAAACCCGAGAGGTTGAGGGAACCCACGGATCACTTGGAAACATGTTGTAATATACTAATATTCATTGCCCTCTCAAATTCAACTTTTATATTAGTGACTTGCAGGCTGTTTCAAACATATGTATATATATGTATACATATGTATACTGTATGTATTTCAACTTAGCTCAACATAGTTATTTTCAAGTACAATCTTTACATGCTTGAAGTGAGCTGAGGCATATCTCAAGAAACTTGCGCCACTTGGCCTACGTTCTGATTAGTTTCTTGGCCTGAAATGTGCTGTGTGGGTGCCAGTGTCGGCACTCATGGAAAGCGCACACATTGCTTCGCAGGGCCTGAGCCAAAGATGTCAAGTGTTTGATTCTCGGGTGGCCTAAGTTTCCCGGATGGCAAATTGGGGGATTGACGTAGGCTGTTGCTTAATAACCCTCTAAAATTGAGATGCAAACCTATTCTGCAGACAGGGTCTTTATTCATCAACAGTCTAAAGGACTAAATTTTAGACTACTTTAGGTCCTCTAGAGTTCCATGTAGCGGGACAATGCCAACTGAGGTTTGCTACCTGCATCAGCTTCCATGTCAGAGGAGCTCTCATTGTTCGCCACCCTTTTCTGGCCCAGAATGCCAATGGACACCCAGTTGGGCCCGGTACTCTTAATTGGATTATGTCGACTCTTCATATTTGTTCACTGGACGTCGCGGCTCCGCTGAAGGGTAAACCTTGCTCAAAATGGAATTCTGATGATGGGCCAAACTGACTGATAGATACACTTTAAGCCTCCCAACTTCAGCTACACCTACCTGGAGCCATTGCCGCCCCACAGCCATCATCGAACCCAACACTTTAATCAATTGGAATGCACGATAAGCAGCTTGCAGTAGTTCTTGGACCGAGGTGTCCCTTCACCATCTTCACCATTTTCACCCCACTTTTCCCAGCCAAAACTTCGCAGGAGATGCTGTGTGACGGTGATGGCACCTGTGATGCCTCCTCGTCCGTATCACTACTCCAAATGGGAAGCTCCTGGGCCAGAGAAATGGGAGACAGGGCAACTTTGTCACACACACTGTGAAGACTCCTCTTGGGAGAACGCAATTGGATACAAGCTTGTGGGCCCAGTAGACAGCTTGTGGGCCCAGGCAGGGTACGCTTTCTTCACAGCCGGACATGTGTCGCCAGCCACGAATCCGCTTGTGAGTCCGCTTGTGTTGACTGCTGAAGTCGGGACCTTTCTGCGGGACCCAACCTTCTTTTTGACAGGCCTGCGCGAAGGAGGCAACTTTGGTGTCCGTGTGGTCACACATCTAATCACATACAGTATATATATATATATTCTGTACTGTATATAAAGCCTTTGGCAACTAAAGAGTACCAATGGCACCTTAGCAACTGTCCAGCTTCCGCCACAGATGCACAGATATGGACAGATCCTCAAATCACTGATGCTGGTGCAGAAGGTCCTTTCATCCCTTTTTTGCTCAGGCTCTAGCCAATCTTTTTAAGCTGAGAACGTTTGGGCATAACCCCCCCGAGCAAAACAGATAACATCGATCCAACTCAAGCCCAACAAACAAAATCGATCCATCCAACAAACTCAAGTTGTTTTGTGTTTTTTGCTTTCTGTCCTCCTTTCGTTGTCCTGTGATCGCCTCCCAGGCACTTTGACTTCTGCCGCCCTCCACCCGGTCATCATGCCTCGAGAGGCCCCCACCGTGCTACGAAGCAGGGGCTATGATGAGGCGCGAGCGGACGTTTTGAAACGCAGCTGGATTAAGGATAGATATAGGATAGATATGCTTTTTTTGAGGTATATGATGGTATATGTATGATTGTATTTGTTTGATTTAGTAGATTTCATAGCAACATCACAAACGCCAGGACTTGGTTTATTTGGTTCCCAATCTTGCCACAACGTCGGACGCAGGCACCCAGTGGTCGAAGAATTTGATCTTCCCACAATACTATCGTTTGCGTTTTTTTGGTTCGTTTGTTGCGCACTTTTGGGTTCCCGAAGGTTAAAAGAACACCAAGGAGGTTTGGTGGGCTTTCATGGGGCTCTTGGAAGTGTTTGTTTGGCTGAATTGGTCTTCCAGTTGTTTCTATTGGTTGCCTGGAGCTCGGGTACGGCGGCATCCGTAATGTTGATGGAAGAACTCCTGTACCACCATCTTACTCCCGGTGGATGGACCCCACGTGACGGGCTCCGTCCGTCACCCTCTCGGTCACCAGGCCGCCCTTTTGGAGATGGGCCAGTATATGACCAGCTGCTTCGCCACGGACTACAATGAGTGGACGATGCTGGGTTGCAGCCAGTTTTTCCGTCTTTCGAACGCACGCTTGGATACACGGTTCGTTGGCAGGACCACGGTTGGACCTACAGGTCCCCTTGTAAGTAGCCCAACTGGTGTAGCCCTTGATTCCAAAGGGAAGGATGACTTGGACTGCCACATGGACTGCCACATCAAGTTGCACAAAGAATCAAGGCATTGCTGTGGTGGTGGGCCTGACTCCCCTCGTCGGCCCCGGATGCCCCTGACTTCTTGGTTGTTGTTCTTTTCATCGGCGCCGCCAATTCGTGCCTCGCAGTGGCTCCACTTCAGGAGCTGCATTGCCGAGAAATGTCATCAGAAGTGGCAGGGGAATTATCACGCCACTCAGCTCCACTGGGCTTGGCCCTTGCCACGGACACCGGGTATGAGAGGTATGAGAGGTATCGGGCAGTAGAACACTCCTCGTTCTCCCAGTGCCGGGACACTGAGGAACAGAAGAAACCTCTGAACCTTCTTCGGTTTGTTTGGTTTAGCAGTCAGATCTGCCATGTGATTTCCACACCGAGGTGCTTATGCTTGAACCACTTGTAGGTTTGGTCTGTCATGTTGTGCTTCAACAGCACTGTTTGGTGTCGTTGGGGGTCTTGGTGTCTCGCCAGGTCGTGGTCGGTGTGCCCATGGCCTGGGGCGGGACCATCCGCGATTTGGACAGCTGGGGGCCCCGGTGACCTTGAAAAAACATCGGGCGACGTGGGGTGATGAAGCGGTCGAATCAAGACTTCGAATGTCTACTGAGTCTACTAAGGTAGAATCAGGAATTCTAAGTCTGTAGACTCAAGTAGGCTCAGTAGACTTAGAATTCCTGATGTGGTGATGGTGGTGATGGATGAGGGGCAGGCACAGGAGAAAGTATATTATATAGACGGCTTGCGATGTTTGTAGGAACAGTCGACCAGGTTGCTGCATGTACTGCCCCCGTGTAGTCAAACTCCTCGGCCTACAAGTTGAATTTCACCAATCAACATGGTTGCATCAAGAACTTGGACTTATGTATATATGCATATATAATCTATGTACACTATATACAGCTCAGGCAGGCATTGAAGATGGTATATTAGAAGCAAAATGCATCCTGTTCAGATGGTCCTTGAGCCTGCTTGCAGGTCAGTGTGGAATTCATGTCCCTCATTCGTGCCGACTCTCACGGTGATACTGTAAGATCGTGTAGGCAAAATCGAAGGGGGTATCATCTCAAGGTGTGCAGGTGGTGATCACGGGATACGGGTATCATCTAATGAAAGTTATTTGGATGTACAAGTCAACTGATGTCCTAGTGAACCAGGATGAGTGGCGATCCATTCGGACCGAGTGGCCGAGGCGCCTACCTTCACTGGGGCGGCTACGACGCATGGATTTGGTCCAGCTGAGCCGCCGAGGGCACCAGAAACCACTTGTGGCAACTGAGCCACCGACATGTACATATATTATAAATTACTATAATAGATTTGTAGTTATATGTATACTTGGATGTATATAAGACATATATACTATATATAATTAATTACAGTATTATATACTTGTGTTTGTGTGTCCTATATAGATGTATCTAGATGTGATTTACATATTCAGATTTATTATATAGGCTAGATTCACGCATGATTATGATGCTTGAGGATGGACTCGATTGGGAAAATGTCTACATTGCACATTGCGAGCTAACTTGTGGTCTGATCACTTGATTCTTGGTAGCTGTGCATCATCCTTGGACCAACAGCTCCATGTCACCATGTCGGAGGGGTTGAGTGCTCGGAGCTGATGGTTTGAGCCACAACACATCACAGCACCCATTAACAGATTGACATCCATATCGGCCAATTCGGAAGGACGCCTACCAAGTTCTGGCAGCGCCTACCAGGGGTCACTAGATGAGTCTCACTTTTGCCAGAAATGCTCGGAGAACTATGGAGAACTCACCCAGATTTCACATGTTCATCCAAAACACTGGTGACCCCGACAGACCAAGAGCCTGGCGGAGAGGAAAAGGAGAGAACGCCCCTTGGGACGCGCGCCTTTCAAGTTCAATCAGGTTGAAGACCCACTAGGTATGAATGACACCTACTTACTTGTATGGAAGACTAGGTATGAAGACTATTGACAGCCGTTGCTGACTTTTCAGGAAAACGGACCTTTGCATGACGATTCTCCTGGTGGAACAGGGCGGTGCCGACGTGAGGTGGAGTGGGAGTGTAGCTTGTACACCTGGCAGAGGTTCGAACATTGGTTCTATATGGAGGGCCCGGGGCCTGCGGTTTCAACCCCAAAAAAGGCATTTGGTGGATGATTAAAAAGGTCGATATAAGGCCTAGAGGTTCATTGAGACCCTGCTGCTGTT